GGGACCAGGGTCACGCTCCGGGTTCTGGGTCACCGTGGCCGTGGCCGAGAGCGTGGGGTGGCGGCGCCGGCCGAGCTCTGGGCTGACTCTCCCTGTCCCCGCAGCGCTCTTCTGCGACTACTACAACGCGGAGGGCCAGTGCACGTGGCACTACCAGCCCTGTGGAGCCCCCTGTATGCGCACCTGCCAGAACCCCAGCGGCCAGTGCCTGAACGGCCTTCGTGGCCTTGAAGGTGGGCTGGGGGTTGGCCTGGGAGGGCCGGGGTGTGGCCGGGCCCTCGGGATCTGGTCTGGGGGATGCCCTGGGGAACTTGGGGTCCAGAGTGGGGGTCCACCGGGGCTGTGGGCTGCCCCTGGGCACGCAGTGCACCTGGCCGGCGTGTCTGACGCAGCTCTGGCCCCACAGGCTGTTACCCCCAGTGCTCAGCTGACACACCCATCTTCGATGAGGACAAGATGCAGTGTGTGGCCACGTGCCCCACCCCGCCACCACCGCCACCCATCTGCCGTGTCCACGGGAAGTCGTACCGGCTGGGCGCTGCGGTGCCCTCCGACCAGAACTGTCACTCCTGGTGCGTCACGTGCCTGCCCAGCGGGGGGGGGGGCTGGGCCGCTGCACTCCCAGAGCTCTGGGCCTTGTGCCCTCGGCCCGGGGTCTCCTGACAGGCTGTGTACTCTGGATCAAGCACACAGGACACACTTCGGGGCTGGGGTCCCGTGTCCTGAGGTCCAGAGATGTGGGGTACATTCCAGGTTGGGGTGCTTTGAGGGTGCAGGGGGCAGCTAACGGGGTACAGGGGAAACAGCTGTGCTGACACCAGGGGATGGGTGCCCATTGGAAGCGTGGGCCGAAGAGCAGTGTTTTTTATTTTTGGCCAGTCCTGGGGCTTGAACTCAAGGCCTGGGCGCTGTCCCCGAGCTTCTTTTGTTCAAAGCTGGTGCTCCACCACTCAAGCCACAGCGCCACTTCCGGCTTTTCCTGCGTATGTGGTGCTGAAGCATCGAACCCAGGGCTTTGTGCACCCTAGGCCAGCACTCTACCACCAGCACCTTCCCAGCCCGTGGGCATGTCTCCACGGTCACTGACCGCTGGCCAGCCCTGAGAAGGCATGCGCCCAGGGGTGCTGACCCCAGAGGGCTGCAGGCTGGGCCGCCCCTGGCCAGCGGGCCGTGGGGAGGCGCGGGGCCCCGTGCGGGCCGTGGGGAGGCGCGGGGCAGCCCGCACACCCTGCCTAATGCTCCCCCTCCCGCCAGCGTCTGCACGGAGCGCGGCACGCACTGCGTCCACGACCCCCAGGGTGAGTAGTCGCAGCCTCTGGGCTGGGGGTTGGCGGTCTCCGCTAGCGCCCCAGCCCCCATCAGCCCCGCGGCCCTGCTCCCCCTCCCCCCGCAGCCTGTGTCTGCACCTACGGCGGGAGCCGCTTCCATCCGGGGGACGTGATCTACCACACGGCCGACGGCACGGGCGGCTGTATCACTGCCCGCTGTGGGGCCGAGGGCACCATTGAGAGGAAGACCTATGCGTGCAGCCCCACCACCCCAGGGCCCACAACCACCTTCTCCTTCTCCACGGCGCCGCCCGGTAAGGCAGAGGGGCTCGGGGTCCTGTGGCTGCCCCACAGTCTGTCTGGCTGGATGCCGGGTGTGTGCCCAGCACCGAGGGTCGGAAGGGGCCTGGAGCATCAGCACCTGATGGCGCCCTGCCCCCTCTCCCAGGCGCCCTGCCGTGGGAAGGGCCGGCGCCTCCGGCCCCCAGCTGCCGGGGCGGGCCTGGCCTCCACGATCCTGCCTCCAGCAGTGGACGGGCCTGGCTTTGAGCGTGCTTAGACCCCAGGACTGAGGCTCCCCACACACGGGAATTTAGGGCTACTGCACGCACGCCGGGCATCTCCAAGTCCCTACGCCCGCTATGCCGGCAGCACTGTCACCAGCCTCCGAGCGAGGCATTGCTGACACTCTGCTTTTAGGGATTATACACATGGGCTGGTCCAAACTGCTGCTCCACCCCTGCCCGGGTCAGGCAGGCCGAGCGCTGCTGGCCCTTCTGTGGTGAAAGGCCCAGGCAGCCGGCGGCATGGCGGGGTGGCAGGGCCAGAGGCGGCCGGAGCACCAGCCCGGTGTCAGAGGCGGCCCCGAGCACCAGCCCCGGTGCCAGCTCTGTCCCCTTCTTTGCCCACAGCTGTGAGCTCAAGGCAAACCGTTGGCACGGGGCCCAGCCCCACCCAGAGCACAGCACGCACGGAGCCCCCGAGCACCGCCTCCTCCTCCAGGGAGATGCCGGGCACCACCTCTGTGAGGACCAGCTCGGGCTGCGAGGACCAATGCCTGTGGTCCCCGTGGCTGGACGTCAGCCGTCCAGGGCTGGGGCTCGACAGCGGTGACTTCGAGACGCTGGAGAACCTCCGGGCGCACGGGTTCCGGGTCTGCCCGGCGCCCAGGGCCGTGCAGTGCCGGGCCGAGGGCGCACCCGAGGAGCGCCCCCTGGCCCCGGGCCAGCGCGTGGACTGCAGCCCCACCGTGGGGCTGAGCTGCCGCAACAGGGACCAGGCGTCGGGGCTCTGCCACAACTACCAAGTGAGGATCCTGTGCTGCAGCCCCGCGCCCTGCTCCAGCTCCGGCAGCCCCGAACCGACCCTCAGCACCGCCTCCAGCACAGCCAGACCCGGAACCACCGCCTCCCCGGCCGCCTCCACCTCAGCCACTGTCTCCACAGCTAGTGCTCCTGTGCCTGCCCCGGGCACCTCCACACCTGCCCTGAGCACCCCTACACCTGCCCCAGGCACCCCTACACCTGCCCCAGACACCCCTACACCTGCCCCACGCACCCCTACACCTGCCCCACGCACCCCTACACCTGCCCAAACAACTCTTCCCACCACTAGCATAATGCACGTGTCAACCACTTCAGCAAGGCCCTCCATGTCCACTATGGGCACGGAAGCCACGGCGCACACCCACAGCCTGACCTCCCCTGGAGGCCCCTGCCGGCGGGAGCTGTGCGAATGGACCCAATGGATGGATGGCAGCTATCCCAAGCCAGACAGGAACAGTGGGGATTTCGACACCTTTGAAAACCTGCGGTCCCAGGGATTTCAGTTCTGTGAGCGCCCTCAGCAGGTGGACTGCAGGGCACAGTTTTTCCCCAACACACCGCTGGCTGAGCTGGGCCAGGACGTGACCTGCAGCCTGGAGCAGGGGCTGATCTGCCTGAACAAAAACCAGCTCCCGCCCATCTGCTACAACTACGAGATCCGGGTGAAGTGCTGCCGCACCGTGGATCAGTGTGCTACCAGCATGCGGGCCCCCACCGGGGCCGGCCCACGCAACACCAGCCCCCAGACGCCAGCAACTGGCTGGACTGCCAGCAGACACTCGCCAGCAGACAGCTCAGCACCTGTGCCCAGAACCAGAAACTCCACCGGCAGAACTCAAACCAGGACTGCACCTGTAACCACTAACTGCCAGCCACAGTGCAACTGGACCAAGTGGTTCAACGTGGACTCCCCCGTCCCTGGGCCTCATGGAGGGGACGTGGAAACCTACAGCCGCATCCTCAGGGCGGGAGAGCAGATCTGCAGTCGCCCCGAGGAGATCACTCGGCTGCAGTGCCGGGCCGAGAGCTACCCGGAAGCGAGCCTGGAGAGCCTGGGCCAGGTGGTGCTGTGCGACCCTGACGTGGGCCTGCTGTGCCGGAACCAGGACCAGCTGGGGACCCAGAGAAAGTGCCTGGACTACTCGGTGCGGGTGCTGTGCTGCCGGCAGCCCGAGGGCTGCGGTGTGACTCCGACGGTGCCTCACACGATCTCCACCGCCTCCGCCTGGTCTCCGCCACCCTCCCAGTCAGCTCCCTCCTCGCCTTGGACGTCCGGCTCCCTGTCAGTCTCCACTCCCAAATGCTTCTGCAATGTGCACAACCACCTGTATGCAGCAGGTAGGTGCAGGGGCCTGCGGGAGCGGCAGCCAGGCAGGGCTGGCATTTAGCAGTCACGCAGATTTGCCCCAGACCCTGGGGGTGCTGACGCCACTTCCAAGCGGGTGGTGGGGCCCCCGGGCCTGGCGACTCCAGCCGGGCTGGGGAGGGGCCTTTCCGGGAAGGCGTCTACTCATCCTCCTCGCCCTTTGGTTCAGGGTCTACTGTATACCTCCAGAGAGACCTCGAGGGCCATTGCTACCACGCCACGTGCAGCCAGGACTGCCTGGTCATCCGGGGTGTGGACCAGGACTGTCCCTCCACCCCACAGCCCCCCACGCCCTCTTTGTCCCCCTCCCCATCATCGCCCTCTCCGCCGCCCACCTCTCCCTCGGGCTCCTCGCCTGCCCACTGGTGCCACAATGTGATTCCTCCAAGAAAGGTCAGTGGCCGTGGGGCTCGGGCCGCTGCAGGGCCTCTGCAGTGAGGCCTCAGCCCAAGGGCCTCCGCTGGCCGAGTGACCACTGGGTGGCAGTCTTGCTGCGGACCGGGGGTTGGGCCTCCCCAGTGGCTGGCTGTCCAGGCGTGTGGGGCCTGGGGCTGGGGGTGGGGAGGCAGGGACAGAGGAGGGGTGTCTCCACACAGTGAGCCCCCCCAGCCAACTCGGCTCAGGAGGGGGCAGAGGTCACAGGTGGGTGGGAGGCAGGCAGGGCCCCAGTGGGTCCTGGGTCCGCGCACAGTACCCTGATTGCTGGGGGGGAGGGGGGTGCCGAGGCTGGCCTGTGGCCCGCAGCTGTCTTCATTCTGCAGAAAGGGGAGACGTGGGCCATGGCCAACTGCTCCCAGGCCACCTGTGAGGAGGACCACAGCGTCTCCCTGAGCCCCCGCACCTGCCCGGAGATAGAAGCGCCCGCGTGTGCCAATGGCTACCCGGCCTTGAAGGTGGACGACGAGGACGGCTGTTGCCAGCACTACCAGTGCCAGTGTGAGCCGGGGGTCCAGCCGGGGTGGGCTGGGGGTCCAGCCGGGGGTCCCACCAGGGCGGGCCGGGTGGGCGGGGCTCAGACACCAGCAGGCTTCCTATTATGGAGGCAGGGATCCGTGGAGCTGAGGCTCCAGCCCGGGGTGTCCGCCGAGCTCTGCTGAGCCCCAGCCCTGCTGGGAGGGAGTGGGGAACACGGGCCTCTGCCGCTCTGGGGCCGGCGGCCGCAGGCGTAACCGCCGTGACCCGCAGGTGTGTGCAGCGGCTGGGGAGACCCCCATTACATCACGTTCGACGGGACGTACTACACCTTCCTGGACAACTGCACCTACGTGCTGCTGCAGCAGATCGTGCCCGTGTTTGGCCACCTGCGGGTCCTGGTCGACAACTACTTCTGCGACCCCAAGGACCAGGTGTCCTGCCCGCAGTCCATCATCGTGGAGTACCACCAGGACCGCGTGGTGCTCACGCGCAGGCCGGTCGGCGGGGTCATGACCAACCAGGTGAGCGGCCCTCGCGAGGGGCTGGGGAGGGCGCTGGAGGGCGGGCGGGGGAGGCCTGGGGTGAGGCGGGGCCACTCGCCCGCTGTCCTCACCTCCCGTGGGCCCGCGGCCTCCGAATCCAGATCCTTTTCAACGACGAGGTGGTCAGCCCCGGCTTCCAGAGGAACGGCATCGCCGTCTCTCGCGTGGGCATCAAGATGTACGTGACCATCCACGAGATCGGCGTCCAGGTCATGTTCTCCGGCCTCATCTTCTCGGTGGAGGTGCCGTTCCACACGTTTGCCAACAACACCGAGGGCCAGTGTGGTGAGTGCCGGCCCAGTCTGGCCACGGCTGCCTGCCGGGGGTCCCGGGCTGAGCCTGCAGCTGCTTCCGGCTGCACACACCTGGGACTTTGGCCGTCGGGGGGCGGCGGCCTGGTACGCTGGCCGGGAGCCTCCAGGGCTGGCTTCTCAGGGGGACACGGCATGTAGGGAAGGCATCCGGGCAGAAGGTTCTCAGGAAGGGCCCACGGGTCTGGGGTGGGGAGCGGGGCGTGGGCGTCTGGATCTGCCACCCAGCCTCTGGCGTCCGTCCAGCCGTCCGACCCCGCCTCACTCCCAGGCACCTGCAGCAATAACCAGAGGGACGAGTGCCGACTTCCCAGGGGCGCCGTGGCCAGCTCCTGCTCCCAGATGGCCGGCCACTGGAAGGTGCACATCCCCGGCCAGCCCTCCTGCTCCGGGCCTCCGCCCCCGCCCAGCTCCGTGGTGCCCACGCCCCCACCGGCCTGGTGCCCACCCTCGCCGCTCTGCCAGCTGATCCTGGGCGAGTAAGACTTGGTGGGGGGCGGGGGGGAGCAGCCCTAGCCACCCTGTCCCTGTGCTGTTGGCCCTCAAGGGGATCCTTCTAGAAGGAGGACGACCGTCCCATGCGCTGCCTCCCGGCAGAGCAGTCAGTGCTGGAAAGCCGGCGTGAGACGGGCCAGGGCCAGGCCACCCTGTCTGAGCCTTCTACCGGCCTCTTCTCATGGACGTGGGCTCGGGTAGGGCCCGGGCGGCAGGCAGGTGGGGCGTGTTCGCAGGAAGGAGTGAGCTGGCGGGGATGGCCTTTGTCCCGGAGGCCGGCTGGCCAGGCCCAGGGGGCCGACCGGAGCCCGCCTCCAGGGGAGTCCTCCCTGGGGGACACTCAGGTGGGCTGGTGGCCGGGGAGGGGGCAGCGGTGCACTCACGGGAGCGTCCGTGCCGCCGGCCCCCCAGCGTCTTCCAGCCCTGCCACGCCACCGTGCCCCCGCAGCCGTTCTTGGAAGGCTGCGCCTTCGACCACTGCTACAGCACGGACATGCAGGTGCAGTGCTCCAGCCTGGAGCTCTACGCGTCCCTCTGCGCCTCCTTCGGCGTGTGCATCGACTGGAGGAGCCACACCAACGGCTCGTGCCGTGAGTGCCCGCCCGGCAGCGCCCCCGCCTGGTGCCCAGGGGGAGGAAGCCGCGGGGGCCGGCTGGGGCCGCTGCTCAGGCGCCCGCTCCTCCCGCAGAGTTCTCCTGCCCTGCCGACAAGGTGTACCAGCCCTGCGGTCCATCCAGAGTCCGCTACTGCTACGGAAATGACAGCGCCAGCATCTGGTACAGGACAGGTCCTACGGTGCACCTCAGAGCCACACGGAGACCCCGGCCAGGCCCCCCCTGGCTTGGGGGCGGGGCACGGAGGCCCCCCCCCCGCTGACCCCCTTCTCCCCACAGGGCGCTCCCTGAGGCTGGCCCCTTCACCGAAGGCTGCTTCTGCCCCGACACCATGACACTGTTCAGCAACGAGGTCCCTGTCTGTGTGTCCTCCGAGTGCCCTGGTACACGCCGTGGGCCGGGCAGGGCCGAGGCGGGAGCAGGGAGGTGTAGGGAGGGGGGGCAGGGCATAAAACGGACCCCAGATCCTTCCCCGGCTCCCCGTGGGTCCCCGCCCCTCCCTGTGGCTGCCCAGAGTGACCGCCTGGCCTCTTTTCCTGCAGTGTGTCTGGGGCCCCGCGGGGAGCCGGTGGAGGTAAGCGCCCCGCCAGGATGGACGCGGGGCAGCGGGCGCCACGGGGCTGTGCGGGGCTGTGGGGGGCTGTGCGGGGCTGTGCGGGGCTGTGCGGGGCTGTGTGGGGCTGGGCTGTGTGGGGCTGTGCAGCATTGGGCGGCCTGGAGGCCCTCTGCTGTCCTGCAGACCCCGGGGTGCCTGTGGCCCCCTGACCTGTCCTCCGCCCCGTAGGGAGTCCCCCAGGCTCGCCCCCACCCCTCACCTTGCCTGCCCCCAGCCCCACCTGCCCAGGCCGTTCTGGCTGCGGCTGCCCTGGGGCCAAGCCGCTGGCCCACAGCAGGTCACGCTCACCCCTCCCCCGCAGCCGGGCCGCACGGTCAGCGCCGACTGCCAGGAGTGCACCTGTGACCCTGCCACGCTGGCCCTGAGCTGCCGCAGGACGCCGTGCGCCCTGCCCCCCGTGTGCCGAGCGCCGGGCTTCGTGCCGGTGCCCGCGGCCCCGGAGGCTGGCCAGTGCTGCCAGGAGTTCACCTGCGGTGAGTGCGGGGGGGGAGGGGGCAGTCCTGGGGTCACGGTGCACCGCCATGGGGGGAGGGGCAGTCCTGGGGTCACAGGTGCACCGCCACCCAGCACACCCGGCGGAGGGGCAGCGGGCAGGCGCGGGCCAGCACACCCGGCGGAGGGGCAGCGGGTGGGCGTGGGCCAGCACACCCCGCGGAGGGGCAGGGGGGGGCGCGGGACCGGTCTGGGTCCTGCCTCTGTCCACTGGGCGACCAAGGAAGGCGTTTTCTGAGTGTGGGCCTGGCCGCAAGCGTGGTCTCCCGGGACACGGATGCTCCTGGAGACCCCCGTGGGGTTCAGCTCCCCGGGGCAGAGTGGGCCCCGGCTCTGACTGCCACCCCCCCACACACAGCCTGCAACTCCAGCTACTGCCCCGAGCCCCTGGACTGCCCCGAGGGCTCCATCCGGGTCGTGACCTACGAGGAAGGCGCCTGCTGCCCCAGCCAAAACTGCAGTGAGTGTCTCCAACCCTGTGCCGGGCCCCGTGGGCACCGTGGGCTGGGGGCCGAGGCCTGGGACTTCCCTCGGCCTAGTCAGAACCGATGCTGGCCGGGCCTCTGCCTGGGAGGGCTGGGGGGGAGGGCAGGGCTCACTGTGTGTGGGGGAGGGACGCAGCAGGAGCGGGCCTGGGAGGGCTGGGGGGGAGGGCAGGGCTCACTGTGTCCGTTGGAGGCGGGAGTGGGCAGGCCGGGCGGGAAGGTGCGGGGTGGGAGGGGCGGCCAGGATGGCCAGTGTGTCAGCAGGTGTGATTCTCCACAGGCTGGCAAGTCTGCAATGTCAACGGGACCCTCTACAAGGTGAGGCCCCTCCAGGCCTGGGCTTCCCTCCCCTGGGCCCCACCTGCCCCTGAGGCTCGGGAGGCACAGCCGCAGCTTGTGCCAGTGAGGGGGCCTGCGCTGGACCCCGGTGCCCGGCGGTGGCACCACAGGCAGCCCTCTTGGGGCAGGATGGCCCGGGCCAAACCCACTAACGCCCAGCTCCTGGCTTCCGTAGCCGGGCGCCATCATCCACTCCAGCCTCTGTGAGACGTGCAGGTGTGAGGCGCCCAGCAACTCTCCCGTGGACACTCTGGTGGTCAACTGCGAGACGCAGCACTGCGACACCCACTGCCCCCTGGTGAGTGCTCGTGCCCGGCTCCGCCCCCCACTGCCCCCTGGTGAGTGCTCGTGCCCGGCTCCGCCCCCCACTGCCCCCTGGTGAGTGCTCGTGCGTGGCTCCGCCCCAACTGCCCCCTGGTGAGTGCTCATGCGTGGCTCCGCCCCCCACTGCCCCCTGCTGAGTGCTCGTGCGTGGCTCCGCCCCCCACTGCCCCCTGGTGAGTGCTCGTGCCCAGCTCCGCCCCCCACTGCCCCCTGCTGAGTGCTCGTGCGTGGCTCCGCCCCCCACTGTCCCCTGCTGAGTGCTCGTGCGTGGCTCCGCCCCCCACTGCCCCCTGCTGAGTGCTCGTGCGTGGCTCTGCCCCCACTGTCCCCTGCTGAGTGCTCGTGCGTGGCTCTGCCCCCACTGCCCCCTGCTGAGTGCTCGTGCATGGCTCTGCCCCCACTGCCCCCTGGTGAGTGCTTGTGCGTGGCTCTGCCCCCACTGCCCCCTGCTGAGTGCTCGTGCGTGGCTCTGCCCCCCACTGCCCCCTGGTGCGTGCTCCTGCGTGGCTCCGCCCCCCACTGCCCCCTGCTGAGTGCTCGTGCCCGGCTCCGCCCCCCACTGCTCCCTGGTGAGTGCTTGTGCCCGGCTCCGCCCCCCACTGCCCCCTGGTGAGTGCTCGTGCCCGGCTCCGCCCCCCACTGCCCCCTGGTGAGTGCTCGTGTGTGGCTCCGCCCCCCACTGCCCCCTGCTGAGTGCTCGTGCCCGGCTCCGCCCCCCTCCTCCGCAGCGGCCAGCCCCGCTCAGGCCGCTGTCCTCCTCCCACAGGGCTTTGAGTACCAGGCCCACAGCGGGCAGTGCTGCGGGTTGTGTGTGCAGAAGTACTGCGTCGTAGTGAACTCCAGCAGCGACGATGCCCACCTGGTCCGCGTGAGTGGCCACCGCCATGGGGCGGGTGGGCGTCTGCGGGTGCAGACGCTGCCTTGTCCACTTGGGTCACAGCTGCGGGGTGGACGGAGCAGGCAGGTGTGGGCTCCAGGCTTCTGTTGGGGCCAGGTCACTGCAGCCCCTCCCACAGGCTCCAGGAAGGCCCAGCGTCAGGGCCGTGTGTAACACAGGCCCGGAGCAGGGCTGAGCCGGCAGGGCCCTGGTGTGTGGGGGCGCTTGGGAAGTTGTCTGTGTCGGGCGTCTAGCTGGGCAGTGCCCGTGCTTCCCAGGGAGCCGTTCCCGGGGAGAGCCGCTCACCCGTGGCCCGGCCTCCTTCCAGGCTGGCGAGACCTGGACAGAGCCCGGGAACGGCTGCGTGACTCACCGCTGCGAGCGGCGCGGGGACCGGCTGGAGGTGGTGACGAAGGTGGCGTGCTCCGCCAACTGTTCCCAGGCGAGTGCTGGGCCTTGGCGCCCTGGGCGCCCCGGGGAGACGGCGCGGGGTGCTGCCGCCTGCGGGGCCGGCGGGATGCCTGCCCACCTGTGTGTGCCGTGGGGTGGGGGGCTCCCAGACCGGGTCCCCATTTCCCCCTCTGGCTTTCCCCACACTCATCGCATCCTGGTTGGCACAGGACCAGGACGGCCAGGAGAACCACGCCTGCCCACAGATAAACAACGGTGAGCGACGGGGGCTGCCGGGCGGGCCCTCCAGCCCGGGAGGCCAGGAGAGGTCAGGCGGGTGCTTAGACGCTGCCCACCTTCCGTGCCCCTCCCCAGGGTCCAGCTGCACCGTGCACCACAGGGACGAGACCGTGGAGCAGGACGGCTGCCGCGGCTCCGTGCGCGCCTCCTACTGCCAGGGGCACTGCGGGGAGTCCATGTCCAAGTAGGAGACCCCGGGCCGGGCCCTGAGCCACAGGGGTCATGGTGGGGCTCAGAGGCGGGGCTGACCCTGGGTGTGGTCAGGTCCGTCCAGGGCCCCAGGCGGTGGGGGTGGGGGGAGTGGAAGGTCCGGGGCCAGGAGGAGGGGTAGGGCGAAGGCTCGTCCAAGGACTCCTAAGGATCGGTCCCTGGGAACGCGCGAGTGCGGGGTCCCTGGCCCGGGGTCCCTGGCCGTGCTTGGGTGGTAGGCAGTACCGCTGTTGGCTGCACCACCCTCCTAGCCCTGGGGTGCGTTGCAGCCCGGGTTGGGTCTGCAGCCCTAGAACCCGGCGGTCACAGCCGGCTGGAACTGGCCCAAGAGGACTGAGGGGTGAGTCAGTGGCGGATGATAGCCCAGAGCTGTGCAGGCCGGTGCGAGGTGGCTGTGCCTGGCGTGGTGCCAGCTCGTGGGGACAGCCGGCCCAGGGCACCCGCCGGGTGGCCGCGGTGGGCTGAGGAGCCCACTCGGGGCCCGGTGCTGAGCACGTCTGCCCGCAGGTACTCCCTGGAGGCCAACACAGTGGAGCACAGATGCCAGTGCTGCCAGGAACTCCGCACCTCCCCGAGCAACGCGACCCTGCGCTGCCCGGACGGCTCCAGCCGGGTCTTCAGCTACACCCAGGTGGACGAGTGCAGCTGCCTCCAACAGCAGTGCCAAGGGCCGGGTGGCACCAGCCGCTGAGGAGCGCGGGGAGCGGGAGGAGGGGCCCAGGCCTCCCTGTAAGGGCCAGCGCCACTCCCACCTGCCCCGGGGGCAGCCAGGAGAACACAAACAACGTCCGTCTCCTCTACCGTCACTCCTGGCATCTCGTCCCCCACCTGCCAGGAAGCCGGGCTGCTGGGCAGCGCTGGCTGTGGGCCGCCTGCCCCTGCACACACACACACATGCGTGAAAGTCACAGACACGGGCCCTGCGGCTCTCCAGCCTGCGTCCCGCCCAGGGCCCGCTCAGGAAACCATCCGTCTCTTCCATAAATAAACTCACAGCCTTTTGCAATCTGTGGACTGTGCATTTTAAAAACGTGTCCATGCGTCCAGGCTGGGACCGGGCGGTGCCGTCGGCCACCTGGGGGAGCCTGCTGAACCATCAGCTGGAGGACGTGGCCACGTGCCTGGAGCACAGGCCTGACCTGGAGCACAGGCCTGACCTGGAGCACAGGCCTGACCTGGAGCACAGGCCTGACCTGGAGCACAGGCCTGACCTGTCCCAAAAGGTGACAGTCACTGCAGCAAGGGCACCATCGCCCAAAGAGGCGTCTGGTCAGATGACAGTGAGGGGTGGAGGAAAAGATGAGCGAGTGAAGCGAACGAATGGAAAGTGAGTGAGTGAACAAGTAAACGAGTAAGTGAATCAACGTGTGGACATGTGAGCCAGTGAATGAGAGCCAGTGAACCAGCCGTGAGTAAACAAGCTGGGCCCAGGGTTCTACAGAGCATCCGGGACACGGTCCGCAGCCCGGCGGAGGTGCTCTGACTGCCCTGTGCACCCACCTCCATGCACAAAGCTCCGGGACACTTCCCTGTTACCACTGCATGCTTGGGGCACACCTGTGGGCACGTGTAGGTGACGTATGTGCACAGTCACGGGTGGGGACTTGGCAGCCTCGTGCCCTCTGCTTGGAGTGGGTGATTTTCCCAGCGATGTTCACTACTTCAAACACACGCTGCCTCAGTTTCTCTCCACTCCCAGTGCCGGGCCCAGCAGGGGTGAGTCCCAGCAGGGCCGAGGTCAGCTGGACAGGAGGCGCTCAGCGGCGCTTCCTGTGGCTGCCACAAGGTGGCACATGACCCAGGTCCGCACCTTCTGGCTGAGGCTGCCGTGTCAGGGACCCAGGGTCCGGGCCTTGAAGCTTCATTCATTCATTCATTCGTTTGTTCGTTCACTTTCTTGCTGGCCCACACACTCACTCATCACGTGCACACTCATTCACTCACACTTTCACTAACGTATCCATCATTCACTTACACATGTGTTTCCTCACTTGCTTATTCACTCATTTATTCTGGGGCCTTCCTGGGTCCCTGGAAGCCAGCCGCAGGGGTACTAAGGCCCTGAGTGAGGGGCTGGGTGGGAGGCCTGGAGTCCTCACACTCCACACCGGACGTCCACTGGGTGTGCCCGGGCTCCTCCGACCCGGCTCTGTCCTTGGGCACCCCACCGTTCCTCCAGCCCCCAGGCCGCCCAGAGGCCCTGAGGCCCAGGGCCCGACGTGCCAGGCCCACTAGCTTCTAGGTCATAGTCCATAGTCCACCCCAGCGCCTGCTACTCACACGCCATTGGTCTGGCAGGTCCCGCAGGTGGGGGGGGCACTGGGATCCTCGCAGCCCCGTGGTCCTGCAGGTGGGGGTGGGGGTGGGGCACTGGGATCCTCGCAGGCCCCGTGGTCCCGCAGGTGGTGGGGGCACTGGGATCCTCGCGGCCCTGTGGTCCTGCAGGTGGGGGTGGGGCACTGGGATCCTCGCGGGCCCCGTGGTCCCGCAGGTGGGGGTGGGGGGTCACCTTGCGGGTCCCGTGACCCCCTCCCATTGTCTGGCCTGGCCCCTCCACCCTCACCGCAGCAGCCCACAGGGCTGACTTTGGGCACAGGTGCCTGTCTGTGGCCAGGCAGGGCTGGGGCTCTCCTGTGTGACCCTTGACCCTTTGTGGCCGGCAGGGGCACAGCCGGGGAGCGTGGCTGACCCGGCAGCCCGCGCTGGTGCTGGCCGGCCTGCTGGCCTCAGCCACTCCTGGGTCCTGGCTGAGGGCGCTGCCCCCCCCCCGGGGAGGATCGGGTGTCCCACGGGCCACCTCTTCCTCTCCGAGCAGGGGGACCCTGAAGTGGCTAATCCTCAGGACCCGCCCCGCCCCGCCCGCCGCCACGCCACATCCCTGCCTGGAACCGAGGGCCTGCTGGCAGGGGGTAACCGGAGAGCTGGCCCCAGCACAACCCCAGCCGGGTTATGCAAGGCGTTGTTTCTGGAAAGCGTCTCCGAGCTGCGTGTGGTCACAGAGCCTTGGCGGTGCGGCTGCAGGGCCGCGGGGTCCTGACGCGGGGCGGCAACGTCCCCTCAGCCCCGGCGTTAGGAAGGGGCTGCCTCTGGCCCGGAGAAGGAAGGCCTCACTTCAGGAGCCGCCTTGGGGAGCCACAGTGCTGGGGGAGGTGTGGGGTTCTAGGGAGCCCGTGGGCCAGAGGCGCGCAGCCTCCCCTGACCTCTCACTCAGCACCCTAGGCTTAACCATCGTGAAAGCCGCCAGGAGCAGGGCACACAGAGCCAGGCCCAGAGGCCTGGAGGAGGCCTGGGGGCGTGGGTGGGGGCACGGGAAAGGGGGGGCTGCGTCAGGGTCAGCGCAGGATGGGGAGGGGCTGCGTCAGGGTCAGCAGGAGGGAGACGCTCGGAGGGGAGCGCGGCTGGGCGCTGGTGTGGGCGCTGCCGGCCGGGAGCGGCCTGCGGCTTCCTGAGGGCTCACGGCCGGCCCCGGGGAAAGCGTGGGCTGCTGCTGTGATCCAGAAAGGAGGACAGATCCCCGGGCCTTTCCCAGGCGAGCACAGCGCTGAGGCATGGCTGGGGTAGAGGGCAGCTTGGCAGGTGTGAGGTCCTGAGTTCAAATCCCAGCACCCCCCCTCCCCAACAGCACAACAACGATGGGCAAAGGCGAGTGTGGCGGCTGCGTGTGGCCTGGCGCGGCCTTCCTCTCACCTTGAAGGAAGCCACTGAGCTCCCACTCCCAGCAGGGAGGCTGGAGCCCACTGTGTCGCAAGGCCGCTCTGAGTCGGGGCTGGACTGCGTGGCGTCCTGAGCCCCTGGGCCAGGGCGGCGGCGGAGCCCCACAAGCCGCGATGACACAGCCACGCGCATTCCTGCCCCTCCTCCCAGTTACACAGCTCAGGCCCCAGGCCGAGCTCCAGCTGGCCAGCCAGCCCCGCCCCTGGCCCGGCCAAGCTTGGCATCACCTGAACTTAGTGTCTCTCACGGGAGCACGCAGGGCCACGGCCTTAGAGGCCTTAGGGGCCTCTACGCTGTAGGCAGCAGGAAGCCTCAAGGGGGACAGAAACCCCAGGAGTGTTTCCAGGAGAGACCCCTCCCCCTCTCCCCGTCCCCCCGCCACCCGGCCCCCCCATCTCACTCACAGGAGGCCCAGCCCGGCCTAGTGGGCACCTGACAACACAGGTGGCTCCGCTCCACAGCCCACAGGGCGGCCCTGAAGACAGGAGACATGGGGCCGGGCACTGGTGGAGGAGCGGCCCTGGCCCCTGACACACACAGGCACGCACACACGCACACACGCATGCGCACACGCCGTGGACTGCCGTGCCCAGCCAGGACGCTCTGGTTGGTGGCTCTGCTGGGACCTGGCCACTTGTCCAGGACGTGGCAGGAAGCTGTCCCTAGCCCTCTGCCCCCGGGGTCCCCACGGCTCAAAGCTCTCCCCTGGGACTCTGCAGCAGCAGCAGCCAGAAGGACAGCTTTCCAAGTATGTGCGCGCACACGTGTGTGTGTGTGTGTGTGAGAGAGAGAGGCAGACACACACACACACATGCACACACACCGCAGCTCCCTGGCTCCACGCGGGATGTGCACATGGCTCACCAGGCAGGCCCTCCCTTCAGAGAGACCTCTCCCCTACCCCCATTCCTCCTGGGCACACGGCCCCGCATGGCCCCCGCCAGGGGTCACAGGGCAGGGGCTCTGAGCTGAGCGCCCCGTGGAGCTCTGCGGTGACCCCCGAGGCTGGGCCTGAGCAGAGCTGGGTGAGGGATCTCCCCCCACGCCCTCGTGCCCCCTCCCCCCGGCAGGTTCCCCTGCGCCTCCGTGTTCCTGGCCCCGGGTCAGGTCTGCGCCCGCTGACCGCTGACCGCTGACCACCGACCGCAGGTGCCTGGAGTGTGTTCTCACCTCTGCCCCTCCTCTCCCGGCACTGGCGCGTCCCTGGCATGGCCGGCACGGCAGCGCTGCTTGGAGCCAGCCTTGGGGACAAGAAGACACCTGGGGATGGGCAGGGCCGACGCGGTCACACCTGGGCCTGTCCTCCGTGCGGATGTCCTGGGCGCGCTGTGCCCCTCCCCCAGGGCTGGCCCTCCCCCCAGGACCGGGGCGTCTCCTGGCCTGACCTTGGGGGTCATCTTGGGGGGTCCTGGGGCCAGCGGGCAGGCTTGGTGGGGGCGGGGCCATGGGGCCTGGGCACGGATGTGCAGCCCCGGGGGGTACCAGGCCCCTCTCTCCGAGCGAGGTCTTGGGGGTAAAGGCCCCTGCGCGGGCCTTGAGTCAACAGGAGGGAAGGGAGGGCCTGTTTGTCCACGACGCTTGGCTTCCCCAAGCTGCGCCAGGACACCGCAGCCCTGCTCCTGTTTGCTCTCTCTTGTGCTATCTAATCCTGAGCAAATGTGGTGGCGGGGAATCCTTTCTTCCTGGCCCGGGGTCCCGCCCTGCATCCACACCGGTCCACTGGTGCTGGGCCAGGCCTGTGCCACCACGGAGGGCCGCTCCACAGCCCTGGGCCTGGGCAGGTGTGCAAGAGCCGGCACCAAACGGGCACACGGAGCCTGGCCAGGGCCATCCCTGGGTCCCCCAGCCAGCCCCAGTGGATGGATGCAGAGCCAGGGCCGTCCCCGGGCCCCCCAGCCAGCCCCGGTGGACGGACGCAGAGTCAGGGCCGTCCCCGGGCCCCCTGGCCAGCCCCGGTGGACGGACGCAGAGGCCGGG